CTAAGCGTACGACTACGATATTAGAACTAGCATGTAAACGTTTCGGAGTGATAAGGAGAATTTAAATATCTATCGTGAATAAAGATCTAAATTCGCCTTATTTGGTATATAGATTATAATGGCAAGAACTCGAAGTGGAGCTGGAAATGCAAACAGAAACCAACAACCTCAACCCCAAGTGATGGAAGAGGTACCTATAGCAGGAGCTGCACCAGAACCCATCACCATGGTTGGAGTACAAGCCATGATTCAGGCTATGATGGCTGAACAAAGGGAAGAAATGAGGCAACTATTGCTGAACAACAGGAATGAACCTTCAATGCCTGTTGAACAACCTGAATTAAATGACGATCAATCAGAGGAAGGAAATTACAGTGGATCTGTTGGTCAAATTGAACCACTTGTGGTTAGGAGGAATAACCAAGAGGATGGAGTGGAGAGAAATGGATGCAAGTACAAAGACTTTATGACTTGCAAGCCATCAACTTTCACTAGAAAAGAAGATCTCGTCAGAGTAATGGATTGGATCTCGGAAATGGAATTGGCTTTAATGACATGTGGTTGCCAGGGCAAGTTACAAACCATATTTGTAGTGCGTCAGTTCAGAAGTGGCGTTGTTCGCTGGTGGAACACTCTGGGGAAAACCCTAAGCCCTAATGAGCCACTGCAACTGACTTGGGCAGAGTTCTTGGTGAAATTCAAGCGCAAGTACTGTTCGGCCCAAAATCTGCTTGAACTAGAGAACCAATTTCTGACACTGAAGAAGGGAAGTATGACCATTGATGAATACACCAATAACTTCACAGACAAAATGGAGTTTGCTTTGCGTATTGTCCCAGACGAGCTGACAAAAATTGACAGGTACGCAAAGGGACTTCCATGGGAGTATGCGGTGCCAGTGCGTCAGGCACTTACTTTGGAGGCAGCTATCTGGGCTGCTAAGTCTGTTGAAGATATGATTAAGGGGAGAGCCGCCAGCAAGGTTGAAGTTGGCGAAAAGAGAAAGTTTGAAGGAACTTCAGGTTCCAACAAGAATAGCAGGTTCTCGAAGTCTGGTTCGAGAAAATTCGAAATAGGAGCCGAAGCCAAGTGGTGTGACAAGTGTAAGAAGAAACATGCTGGGAAATGTAGCGAGGAAGTCATTTGTTACAAATGTGGAAAGCCTGGGCATTATGCCAATGAATGCACCTTCAATAAGAAAGTCTGTTATGGGTGCAATGAAGAGGGGCACATTTTGAAGGATTGCCCGAAGAAGAAGGATGCAGCAAAGCCCAATCTCCCACCAAAGCCAAAAGCCAGAGCTTTCCAAATGACATTGGAAGCTGCAAAGGATGCAACGGATGTCGCTTCAGGTACCTTTCTTGTAAATGGATTGTCTGCCAATTTATTGTTTGATTCCGGAGTGAATTACTCCTTTATATCACATAAATTTGGTGAAAGACTAGCATTGCCTATAGAAAAGCTAGATGATGCCCTAATTGTAGAAGTTGCTAGTGGCAAATACATACCTGTTAGCGATTGTATTAGGAATATCGTCATCGACCTGAATGGAAACGAATTCCAAGAAAAGCTGTTACCCATCGAGTTAAATGGTTTCGACATCGTTCTGGGGATGGATTGGCTTAGCGCCAATGATGCCGAAATACTGTGCAAGAAAAAGATAGTAAGGGTAAACCCGCTTGGAAAAGAGTCGTTTATGGTATACAGAGATAAGCGCATAGTAAATTCTGGAATCATTTCCCTAATGAAAGCCAGAAAATGTTTATCTAAAGGATACATTTCATACTTGGCATTCGTGATCGATGCTAAAAAGGAGAAAAATGATATGCAAAGTATACCAGTGGTGTGTGACTAACCGAAAGTTTTTCCTGAGAATCTTCCTGGATTGCCTCCTGATAGACAAGTGGAGTTTAGAATAGACTTGTTACCAGGAACAACACCAATAGCAAAAGCCCCATATCAATTAGCCTTTTCCCTTTCCGATTCTCAACGCCTTTGTCGTCAAGATCTTCCCAAACCATTTCTTCTAAGTAAGCACTTGAACATTTTTCCGAATTCATGTCCCATTTTTTGTGGGGTTCAGATTTATAAGAATCAGAAAAACGCGATTGAAATCTAATGTTGGAGTGAATAAACACAAGTTTATCTGCTCTCTTGCAATTTAAACAATTATGTTTGACATTATAGATATAGGAGTATGTACTCCAATTTCTATGCACCGAAGAGCTACTAATCGGTTGCGAGAGTACTTTATTTGTTACTTCTGTCATTTCTGGAGTCTCCGATCCATATGTAGCCCATCAATCAGTTATGTCCATTAACATGACATTTGATTGCGTTGCGGCCCTAGAATAAATTCATTTCTTCATATGAAATGTTGCTAATTTTCCTGCAACATCTTATCTTCTTCTTCATTTTCCATATTTCTATGAAATGTTTCCATAACACCAAGTATAATTTCTTTTTCTTGGTTAGGAGCTTTTCTTTCCATGCCACCGGGAGCCAATTTTTCTAGATAGTGTTTATCATAAAATTTTGGACTTAAAGCACACCCCAAGCAATGAAGTGGGATTGTCATTTTCTCCCACCTAGCCACAAAAATCTTTTCAACTTCAAGGTAGTAGTTGATGGAAATATAGAGTGTTCAAGATCGAGTTTAAAGCATAAAACTTTTGATTTTGCAACGGAAGACTTTGATTAAACTCGAACAACATAAAATCCACAACAAGATCACAATACATGTACACACAAGAATTTTATATAAAACCATATTGGAATTTAAGGGTTACAATCTTTGAAGCCTTTGGATCATCTTGGGAGGTTGAACGTTGGTGAAGATGATAAGAACCCAAACTAGAGTTCCTCTAGAAGTATCCACCACAAGCTTACAACACCTTTATAGATGCTAGTCCATCCTCAAAACGCAAAGTTGGAAGTTCAAGTTGTTCTCTAAAACAAGAACTTTATAAAACACCAAGAACACACACACAGAGTGTGTGTTTTCTTTCTTCCAAAACCAAGAATGAGAAGAGAAGAAGGAAGTTGATGTTTCATGTTTTGGTTTTATTCATAAGCATATCTTGCTTAACATTAAACAAGATATATATGAAGGGGAAAAATCAAGATGATCTTCATGCAAGATGAAGATCACTAAGAACACACATCAAGTGTATGTGTTCTTTCTTCCAAAACAGGAAGCAAGAGAGATAGGGGAGAGTTTTTTGCTAGTTGTTTGCACTCTTGCATTTAATCTTCCAACCACGTCTTCATGATTTTAAAAGCAATCAACCAAATGAGAGCTAGACATGCAACCAACAAAAAAAATGAGCTAGACTTGCATATTTCTCTTTAAACCCTTCCGGATTGTATTTGTTAAACTCATCCATTTTAACTTTTTTAACTTTTATTATTATTATCCCTCCTTTTAAATTATAATAATATTTGATCAATTATATATTTAGAATTTATAATTTGCATTTTATATTATAAATCATATTCAATAATATTTATAATATTTTCGCATCTTTTATTTGAACGTTTCCAAATAATATTTTCAAGGAATATTAATATTCAAGAGTTGAATTTTTATTAATATTAATTTAGTGTCTAACTTGTTATTGATGTGACCATATATGATAATATGTTATTGACAATATTATTTTATGATCATTCTTGAGTATATGGAACCAACAATAACTTGAATATTTATTTCCCTCATAACATCTTTGATTTCACCTAGAATGTTGTTCATTCCTTCGTAGATTTCTCCCATTTTAGTACGTTCACCATCACAAAATTTGCTTAACAAAAAATTGGGTTTGAAATAGCCAAAATATTCTCAACCACTTCATAAAACTCGTCATCTTTAATCGTATCGACGACTTTTGCCCCCAACCAATCGAGTGTTTTCGTCCCCACTCTAGACTACCCATTCGAGATGATTGAGACTCCTTGTGTACACCATGTGTCTCTAACCGGTGTTAGCTCCTTCTCAACATTTCTAACACATTCATCAAGTAAGACGATTCTCGTTTTTTCACGCGAAAGGGGTTTGTAGCCATACGGGGCTTTCTTGATGGCGTTAACCGTTTCAAGAAATTGTGGGTTGCATAACACGTTGGAAGGAACCATGTTTGCATACAACCCTAGAATGGTCTTCAAATCCACCGCATTTCTCTCTAGTATGCCAAAAGTTTCTTTAATGTGCCTATTTTGTAATGCATCTTTGGAGAGTACTGAATTTTTTAAAGTTTTGACACTCCACAACTTTCTACTTCTTTAACCTTCTTCGATAGGTTGTTCAACTTGTCTCGATCTCTAACCATGACTAAACATCTTTTAACCTCGACTTTTCCCCTACATCGGGCCAAAAGATGGACATCAATTCTAGTGTAAGAGCTCGTGAACATGCCTCTACAGAGATTGCAAATCCATTTTTTAGCACCTCCTTCGTTCTTGTTTCCTGTGCCAACAAAGGTTACTTCATCAAGGAGTGGCTTAGTAGAATCTTTCTCTTCGGTTGGTTCTTCAGCTTGACTTCCTATTGATAATGTTGTGTTCTGTACCTCATCATCAAGGTCAATGTAACTTTGTGTGTCACTCACTATGGTCTCACTGTCATCTCCCAGAGTATTGCTATTCTTGCCAAATGCCATTTCGGAATTTGAAGATTAAATGACTGATTTTAAGGAATAGAAATAAAAAGGATGATGATGAAATTCGAAATGCTTAACAAGATATTCATACATGGTCATGGCTTGAGAGTGAAAATGGAAGATGCAACTATGGTGCCACATCATATCATGATATCATCATCCATCTTCTACCTATGAAAGGCTACTTGATCAAATTCAACAACCAAAAATCGATGTCACGACATACAACTTACTATAACTACAAACATAAAACTTCAAATTAAAGCAATCTTCAGTTTACAAAAGTACAAATATGAGTCACAACTCACAAGTATTTAAAAACCAAACAAAAATATATAATATGAACATACGTTTTCAACAATTCCAAAATCCACTTCCAAAACCACCAACAATCAAGAGATGCTACTTCCCCTTCTTTGAACCGGTTTATAAAGTACAACATTCACGTATTTTGACCGAAAACGATGAGAGAACCCAAGTGCCACAACTGACCGAGGTGCCTCTCTGTTCTCAATGTAAAGATGATTCAGCACCACATGTTGTGGGTCGGGCAGTCGGGCAGCCGGGTCGCCGTTTTTCGGGTAGCTATAGCTTAGGACTGTGTGTTGTAGGTGTTGTGGGACTATGGGTGGGTCCCGCCCATCATCTTCGGTTGCAGTGTAAATGTTGTTGTAACTTGCATCCGGTGATGTTGGGACTTCAAATCCAGCCACCACAGGTGTTTCCTGTGATATGATTGTGTACACTTGTCGACTTGCTATTGGTTTTGATATATAATTATAAAAAAAATAAGAATTAAAAAGGGTTTGGAAAACTTACCTGATCTTGACAATGAGAATTGTTCATATTGACGCGAAAAATGGATTAAATTCTAGTAGAGGTCCAAATCATCACCGAATAGTTTATCCTGAAAGAAGATATACTGATAAATTACTGAGATTCAACCCTACTTTATGATAGGGGACTAAAACATATCAGAAATTTGAGGTTATTAATCATCCAATTCCCTAAAAATATGACAATGTCAGAAACAAAGTTGGGTTTCTAGAACAATGAAATTACATCTTCTATTAAAATAGGGCCAAGATGTTCGATGTGCTTAAATGAATTTGTGATTTTATCAAGATATGGTTGTGAATGGCCTCCAGGAGAAACACAGAGATTGCACATGTATAATCATAGGAAAACTACCCAACTACATATTAGCTTCTAAAAAATTACTCAATTGTTAATACAAAAATAAGAATTGAAACTCGCTTTTTAGGGTTAAAATAGAACCAAACTTCAAATGAATGATACAAATCCTATTCCAGAAAATTGCTGTTCCTAAGCATCTAGGATGAATTCAAGAAAAAAAAATATTCGGTTCGGACTTCTCAACAAAATCGGGACTCCAATTTTGGGACGTGCAACCCTAATCGATCGAATCTGTTATATGCATCTATGCCGATTAAATATTCTCAAATTTCAGAAACTTCATGTTGTATACAAGATCTAAGAAACATAGAGAATTGGTATTAATTCTCAATTCGCATAATTCGAAACGAGATCAAATCAAAAAAAAAAAATCACAGAAGAACAAAACGAGGTAAATATATGGACGAACCTGTTGGATCAAATATCAATGAGTGCTTGATTAGGCTTCAAACTTATAATCCTTCACGGTCGTGGAATTTCACTTGCGCAATCAAGAAATTTCTTAACAAAAACCGGAAACCTAAAAATCGCAAGAAAATGAAGGCGTTGAGCAGAAAATGCGACACTGAGCGAAAAGAGGGAAACCCGAGCGGCCGAGATGAAAAGAGGTTGACTTTTAAATGGACCGAGTTTTAATCCGAATTTGAAATGGGCCTCCTTGAGATCCACAGTTCGTGACCTATTTCTTTTTAGGTCGTTTGATTTGGTATATTACGAAACATGAGACGCATAATTATTTAAGATTGGTCTTGTTTATCGAGTAAAATGTTAATTTTTGGATTATATAAGCATAATCTATTGACTATCATTATGTTGATTGAAAGTAAACAACGGTTAAGGTTTTTATTATCAATTATCATCAATAAAAGTTACATAGTGAAAGCAAAATAAAGTTATAAATAAAAGATATTTAGGGTAAAGAAAATAGCTAAACAACCCACAACTAAAAGGACTAAACAAAAACAAACGTAATTGATAATAAAACCTTAAAATCACATGACACTTCAATACCCATTGATAATTCACGTGAAAGTCTAGAAAGGTTTTGTACATGTGTTATTCACTTGTATGGAGAAGAATATGTCCATTGTCCGTGACATACAAATTTGTATGCTGTACACAGTGGCGGAACCAGAAAATTTTGCAAGGGGTAGCAAAAAAAAAAAAAACTTCCCAATAAAGGATAGCAAGATAGAAAAAAAAATTAATTACGATTTCATTAGAAATAACAAATTAGCCCAAAAGTCTTACATAATTCTAATTAAACCCTACAAACATAATTAAAGATTTAAATTCACAATTGAAGATTTAAACCTAATACAAGTGAACAATTAATTGGCTAATTATGTTTTCAATTTTAAAAAATAAATTAAACTAAATCATAAAACATTAACAAAATTATTACTTGTTTCATGACTCGGTGAGTGATGAAGTGAAGCAGGGGACAACAGGTACCGGCGATCAGAGTATCACGAACCAAAGAAAATGCCGATTTCTTTTTGGGTTGTGCTATAAGTATCCCATTTATCCAAATTTACCCCCCTTAAAATCAATCAAATCAATTTTTTGACATTTGATTTGACATCATTTTTTTACTTTTTTTTTTCTTTTGTTGTTTTTTTTTCCTATTTTGTTTTTTTCGTTATTTTTAATTCTTTTTTAATTATTATTATTACTATTATTATTATTATTATTATTATAAATATCGCACAAAATTTTAACATTCGGACGACATTATAAATTCGAACGACTATATAAAATCGGTTATTAATATTTTTTTATATTTTAATATTAATATTATTATTGTTATTATTATTATAAATACGAACGGCTATATAAAATCGGAAACATAGTATAGTGTTCAACTAAAATATTTCAATCCGCATAACGCACCACGCAATTGTAATACCGTACCAATTAATATCCGTAATTAATAGGGACAAACTTTGTTTTTGTTCCGATTTTATATAGTCATTCAAATTTATAATGCCCGATTTATAAAAATGTTATTCGAAATTTATAATAATAATAATATTAATATTAAAATATAAAAAATATTTAAAAACCGACTTCATATAGCCGTTCGAATTTATAATTTCGTCCAAATCTTAAAATTTTGTGTGAAATTTATAATAATAATAATAATAATAATAATAAATTAAAAAAGAATTAAAAACAACAAAAAAAACAAAATAAGAAAAAAAACAACAAAAGACAAAAAGTCAAATTAGGAGGTGGAATTGGAAAAAGAGGGAGTACGTTTAGAAAACCCCTTTTTTTTCCCTTATGTGGAAGTAATATCAATTACTACAATTACATAGCACATGTCCTCTTTACATAATCAATGCGCTAACTGATTCATTCATTAATGGGCTCATTATTGGATTTTGAATTTGAATATAATTGGATATTTGATGTCGGATTTTAAATTAGGAGTTATATCATATATTTATTCACTGTGGTTGTATTTAGAGATGAGCAACGGGCCGAACCCGGACCGAACCGGCCCGAAGACCGAAAACCCGAAGACCGAAAATAGTGAATTAACTTACCCGAAAACCAGACCGTTTTAGGTGTATTGGGTTCGGGTTCGGTCCAGTCCGGTTTCGGGTACTAAACCGGGTTTCGGGTTGTGGACCAAATATATGACATACATACATAAATCTTTCTTTGTGACTAGTTATAGACTTATAGTTGCAACTTGCAAAGTAAAAATAAATATATGGTCCTAAACTCTTGATTGGGCTGTAATTCTAAGCAAATTAACATAAAGCATTTGACATTACGTAAAGCAACCATACATATAATTCTATACAATTCTTGTATCTAACTTATGAATACCAAATACGTGTAACGAAAATATATTAAATGACGAAGCTCACTATTATTTACTCAATGTCTTTTTGACTAAGAAATCGTAATTAATGTCACATGGAGTCACGCACCATGTTATCTAGTGCTCCTTCACAAACGACGATTTATATGATTTGATTTTTACCTTGTTTTTCTTAGGGCAACATATATTAACATTCCAGAGTCCTGTTACGGCAAAATACATTACATGATTACAACATCAAAAACATATTATACTGAGTTTGATTGTCTTCCACAGAGCCAATCCAATTTTCAATCACCATTAAAAAAGAGAGAGAAGTATGTCATCAATAATATAGACTATAATATTTTAGTAGGGTTTTTTTGTACTCGTAGAATGCGATCAAACTAGAAAAGGGAGTCGGACCCGAAAGAAAAAAAAATCGACAAACTTAATGGAGTAGGGAATAGGGATTGCATCGATTAAAAATTAAATAACCTTAGTTTCCGGTCCGGTCCGGGTAACAACGTTTATTCCGGGTACGGTCCGGTCCAAACCCAAAACCCGATTTTTGCAAAAAATAAAAACCGAAAACCGGCCCAACTAAATGCATTTCCGGTCCGGTCTGGGTTCGGTCCCGGTTTTTTTCCGGTCCGGTCCGGTTCAATGGGTCATATGCTCATCCCTAGTTGTATTTGTATTATGTATATAAACAAACTAGGTGTGAAACCCATGTATTATATGAGTTTATTTAAAAAAAAATATGAAATTTCAACGATTTGAATATTTTGAATTTATAAGAAAATTAGAAAAAGTTTGAATTATTAAAATTAGTGAGGCTTTAATGTATTGAAATACATTACATATATAAACCTTTTGTAATAAATACCTTACAAATATATTACTATACATATTAAATGTGAAATTTTAATTTAATAAAAGGAAAAATACAATAAAATGACAAGTGGAAAATAGAAAATTCAAAAATTTTAGAAAATATCATGTATCCAAATTAAGGAGAATAAGACATGTTGCAAAAAGTTATTTATTTATTAGGGAGAATTATCATTTCTACGAATTAATTGAGCCCTACCAACTAACTCATTCTGCGAAAGGGAGTACAAGAATCCAAATATTCTTTTAGTCATTATTTGATTTGGCGATGACGTGAATATTAGGACTAAGTGTGACAATGTATGACATGACACGATAAATATACATGATATGGAAAAAAAAGACAAAATTTATATTTGAATTTGTGTGTGTGTCAAGCGCAAAAAAACACGTGTCGTGTTCACTATTCAACACAAATTGATGAGATATTAACTTTTGTTTATTGTGTTTTTTTTCCTATTTGTCATGTTTTGTAAGATTATGTTTTTTAATTAAATAAACCAAAGGTTGATTTTATTTTATCATTTTCGTGTTTCCCGTATTGGTCGTTTTCATTGTATTTCAACCGGGTTGTTTTCGTGTTATTAAAGCATAACAAGAAATCGTGTCGTATATTTTATTATCATATAAAAATTGTCCCATCGTAAGATGTTTGCTAAAGCATGACATAATTGTGTGATATGACACCCATAATTGGGATGTAGAGTCGGAACTAAGACAATTTTCTCCACCATAATAAAACATTTGTCATAAGTCACATGACTTACTATATATAACTAATGATAAAGATAAAATGACAATAATAACCGAATGGTTTACCTAATAAATATACATACTAGTATCTTTTGTGTCGCGATGAACCTAAAAAAAATGAAAAACCATCGATACAAACCTTGGTTTTGAGATTTACCATTACAAAGGTACATTTCACATATTTTTCGTCAACATGAGCCAAACAAAAAATGATATAATAGGGTTCTTATCTATCCATTTTGTTCACAATTACTAAACTACATATTTTTTGTACATAAATGACCCTTTATTTTTCAATGTCATTTATGAATGGTGGATTTTAGATGCACCTTATTTTTCTTTTATTTCAAATGTTTTTGACGAGTAGATTGAATTTTAGTATAGGATAGTTTGATGAAAATTCTAAAATTTAGTTGAGTCAATATGTTAATATTTGTGGCTTTCCAACTCTAGTGAAATCATGAGACAAAAACGCGAATTAGTGTAATTTGAGGACATAATATATTTTGCATTGTGTAATGAAATGTATCCAAAAAAATTTATATAGTCATTGCACTTTAAACTAATATCATTAACCAATAAAGGTTGATGTTAAATTTTTTTGCTTAAGCATATGTTTTTCTTTTAGGTTTTTAATTTGAAAGAAAAAAAAAGTTATGAAAAAGAAAAAAAATGAAAAAAGTTGTGAAAAGGACAAAAAAGAGAGAGAGGAATAAAAATTGTTGAGTGAATAAAAGCGATCAAAGAATGAATATCTTGAAAAAAGTGAAGAAATAAGACAAATTGTTAAAAGTCAAGGGCTTAGAATTGCTAAAAGTCAAGGGCTTAGAAGTCAAAGTTATAATTTTTGTTTCAAGATTATTTTTATCATATGTATGCTTAGGAACTTAACAAAAATACATTGAGGTTGAGAAAATTTTCTGAGAATGTATTCGGATGGATGCAGAAATGAGTGTTGTTAAAAATAAGTGAGGAGCGTTTATGATGATTGTAAGTATCTAAAGTTTCGAAAATATTTAGGAATCTAGAAAGAAATATATGCATTGAGGTGAAACATAATTGGTTAATTTAATTTGGGTTATTATATATGATATTAGTGAGCAAGGTTGTCATGTAACGATAATATAAAAAATCAGTTTTGTTTGGGGCAAGCAAAAGACAAATGTGAAGTAT